AAAGCACAGGGGATGCAAGGAAAGGTGAAAACAGGGGAAGATTCAGAAACATTTCTCCCATAAACTTCTACCAATTAGATTTCTTGGGGTTAACAAGTTCCTTGTTTAATGAGCAAATGACCTTAGGGAATAGTAAGCCTATCCATCATTTAGGCCTAAATTTCTTTAGTCAACAAACATTTCTCAGAATCCAAGCTGTAATGAGAAATGAGAATACAGAAATAGCTACAGCTCAAGGTATAATGTACAGATAAAATAATAGGTGGAGAGGTTATATATAAAATGCTGGGTTAATTCGATGAGAGAAGAGATTACTGGAGTAGGGAAGGTTTCACAGAGGAGATTTGAGTTGGTTCTTGAAGGATGGGTAGGAAATAGGCATAGCTAGAGTGGGAGTGGGTTGGGAAGGGTATTCCCAGATGGGGGAACAATGTCGTATAGAGGCAAGGAGGCAGGAAATCAGAGAAAATGTGCAGAGCACAGGAAGCAGTCTGTTTAGTCTTTGGCTAGAACATAGGGTACATAAAAGGGAATAGTTGGAGAGAAGTTTGGAAAGGTAGATTGGTTCTAGGGGGATCCATTGAAGGTTCTGAGCAAGGGCACGACATGATCAGTTATGCTTAGTTAGATTAATCTGATACTGTATGTAGAATGGATTGGTAATGAGGAAAAGAAGACTGAAGGGGACCAGTCAGGAGGCGGTTGCAAGTATCTATCCAAGAGGAATGAATAATCAGGAAAAGAATATATACAATGACTACAACAATGTAAACATAAAAGAACAATAAAATTAAACTGAAGAGGATATAATTATAATGATTAATCTTGGCCCAGAAAATGAGCCATTCTTTATTTGGAGAGGTAAAGAATTATGGGTTGTTAATGTCTTGGTTGGTTTTGCTTACAGATTTTTTATTGTTGTTACCAGAGAAGATTAAGATTTGAAGAAGGGAAAAGATATGTTTGGAAGTGACTGGGATGTGAAAGCAAAAGGCACCAATAAAACTTGAGAAAATAATGTATGCAAGAGGGCATGGAAATCTGAACCAAAGTGGTGGAAGTGGACACAGAGAGGATAGATAGGAGAAAGAGGAAAATTGTTTGGATATGGGGACAAAAGAAAAGACAGGAGTCAAAGATGGCCCTGAGGAATCAAATATGGGTGACTGGGAAGTTGGTAGTGTTAAATATAGGGAAGCCAGGAGGTGGATCTGGTTGGGAAGGGTGGGGATTGTAAAGATAATGAATTCAGTTTTGGATATGTTGAGTTTGAAGTGCTGACAGGTCTTCCAGATGGTGCTGTCTAGGAAACAGCTGGAAATGCAGATGTGTAACAGCTCAACAGAGAAGCTGGGGCTGGAAATTGAGGTCTGGGCAAGCCACAGAGGTGGATGAGATCACTGAGAGAAAGAGCAAAGAAAGAGAATCAAGCCAAGAACAGCACCCTGGGGAATGCCAACATGATGGGGACGGGAGGTGGAGGAGCCAGTGAACGAAACAGAGAAGTTATTAAAAAGATAGAGCCTGAAGAGCACGGTTCTAGGTATGCAAAGGGAGGGACGATAACCAGATTGATACCTACCTAGGCCTACTTGGGTAGATAGATTACTTGGGTAATCAGATTTTTCATTTTGGAGGGTGGGGTGTGATACTCAGGAAGTAAAATTCTGACTAGAGGGCAAGCCTGGGGGGGGATATCTTTGGACAGTATGAATACAGTAGATCACTATATTACAAAGAAGTTTTGGGGGTAAAGGACAATAAGGGAAAATGCCTACTTGGCCATTTTGCCTAGTGCTCTCCTGGGCAGTCATTGAAAATCACTGATTCCAGAATTAGAATATCAGGGCTAATTCTGAAGGCTGCATTCCTCAGCTTCCCTCAGTTTAGCCTGGTCTCTGTCTCAGATTAGTCTAGCCCAACTTCAATTCAGGCCAATTTCTCCAGCCTGATCCTTAATTTCCCCACTACTGGAAGGAAGGGGGATGGGTGGAGAGAAGAAAGAAAAGAAAACAATATATGCATAAAGTCACCTTGTCCCTTATCATTACTACGAAATAATGCAGCATTTCAGGGATTATCCTAATCACAAGGACAAATTCCTGGGAGTGATCTTTTTCTCACAGACCTCAAATAGCCTTTGAACAACTCTTAAATGCCCTAGTAATACAACGAAGCAAAGTATCACAGTCTCCTGTCCTCAAGGAACTTACTATTTAATACCCTTCTGATTCCCTGCTCTCTGACAAAGGGCTGCACCAAACTTGGGAAGGGAAGGGAAAGAGAAGAGTTTTCTAGTTTACAGTTATTGACAATACAGGTTTGCTGTATAGACAATACCTTCATGGCCACCTGACTACTCCCCAAACCGGGCTCCTGTTCCATGTATAAGGCAGACTTTAGAGCATTACAGAAACATGAGCCATTATTATCACTGAAAAGAGTGCTGGATTTCTGAAAACTTGGCTTTGACTTCCAGCTGTGCCATTTAATACCTGTGTGGATCAGAGATGGAGAATTGGAAGATTATCTAGTTCAACCGCCTCTTTTTACAGCTGTGGAAATTGTGGTTCAGGGTAATTAAATGACTGGCGGAAGGTTGCATAAATACTAAGTGTCAAAACTAGATAACCTCTAGTTTAGACAGCATCTAAACTAGTTGTCTAAACTAGTTGACCTCTCAACCCAGTCCCAGCTCTAAATCTATAGAATATAAGCTTCCTGGTGGCAGGGACTGCTTCATTTTTGTTATTTTATCTCTAGTACCTAGCCTACGTGGTACCTGGCAGAAGCAGGCTTTAAACTCAGGTCTTCCACTAAAAAGCTTTCTATCCTACAATGTAACCTCTGGGCACGTGTGGCACTGAATGGGGGATGGGCCTGGAGTCAGAAAGATTCATCTTCCTGAGTTCAAATCTGCCCTCGGATATTTCTTTACTAGCTGAGTGATCCTGGGCAAGTCACTCAGCCCTTTTTGCTTCAGCTCCTCATCTGTAAAATGAGTTGGAGAAAGAAATGTCGAACCACTCCAGTATCTCTGCCAAGAAAACCCCAAGTGGGGTCACCAAGAATCATGACTAAATATTTAAGATGAAGGGTTTTTAAACCCTCTTCTAGCTCTAAATCTATAGAATGTAAATTCCTTGAGGGCAAGGACTGCTTCATTTGGATTGTTTTATCTCTAGTATCTAGCATAGTGCCTGGGGAATACCATTCAAATACATATTTGTTGATGAACTGATGATCAGCACCTTGCTACTAAAAACAATCTTAACATTTTATAAAGATCATAATGCCATTTTCCTTGATTCTGTTACATACTCTCAAATTCCAAGTAACTTTATGCCCTCCAGAAGTCTGGAGACCAAAGGGATTCATTCCATGATTTCAACAAGGTCAACAACTAAATCAATGCACTGCCCTAAAATAAACCAGGGATCTACTGACTCGATGTGCAAACACCAAAATACATTCTCCGGATCGTCACAATTAGTGCCTCACACATCTCTCTCTTCGTTCCAACTAGCCCCAACCATCCCTCCTACTTCCATCCTCCTCATCTAACGCTTTCTACCTGCGTGACCATGGGCGAGTCTCTTGGCTTCACTGTAAAATAGAGGCTTTTTTTTAAAAATCAGATAATCCCAAGATCCCTTCCAGCTTGAGATGAGAGGCTTCCCTTCCCCGGCTCTCAATTCTCCTCTTACCCCCCATCTCTTCTCCCTACTCCAATACCTTTCCCTCTACTTCTGGATCCACATATGTAGTCGTCCAGTATTTGGGGCCCCCCAAAGAGGGCAAACTCACTCTTCCTTGCCTGTGTTTCTCCCTGTGTCTGGTTTCCATCTTACTTGGGGGAATAAAACACAAATAGAGATATTTCATTAATATTCTACCTAATCTCCCGTCTAGCTCCTTCTTTGGATAAGGAGTGCAGGGAACTGAGGGAGAGAAAGATGGAAATAATAATTATATTTTTTTTTAAGAAAGAAAAAGCGAAAGGAAGAAAGCTGAAGTGGCTCCAGCTACCACTGGTGCTCTGGGTGTCGGCGGAGGACGGGGATCCCTTGAGACTTGGTAGCGCGCACGCTGCCTCCCTTGTGCCCCGGGCACCCCAGCTCCTGGCTCCGGCTCTTTTTCTCCGGCCACTTGAATGTGCTTCCAGGGCAGCCGATGCCGCGAAAAAGGAAGAGGAGGCGACAGCAGAGGAGGCGGGGATGTCGCGGGAGCGGGGGTTTCCCCCAGCGGCGGCGGCTGCAACGGCTGCAGCCCGGAGGAATCCCCCCTCCTGGCTGGCGGTGGCGGCCCGGGGGCACGCGGACAGCGCGCGGGGCAGGCTGAGACGCCCCGGCGGCCGCGCATTTGGGCTCCGCAGCCAGGCTGGCCAGCAGCTCTGGTTACCACCCCCTTGAACCGGAACCTTTTGCAAAAGGCAGCTTGAGGCCGCTGCAGCCGCTGCTCCTGCTCCAGCTCCTGCTGCTGCTCCCGCAGCGGCCGCGGCGGACTTCAGCCAGCTCGGGCGGAGAGAGTGCCAAGGCCGGGAGGGGCGCCCCAGCCCCGGGCCGGGCCATGGCTGCGGCGGGATGACTTAGGCGCCGCCACCGCTGCAGCCACACGCGCGCGCGCGCGTGTGTGAGTGTGAGTGTGCGTGCGTGCATGTGTGTGTGTGTGTGTGTGTGTGAGAGAGAGAGAAAGAGAGAGGAAGAGAGAGTGGTCGGGGTCTTCCTTCCCCTCACTGCACCGCGGAGCCAGCTAGGACGTGCTTTCGCGCAGAGGCCGGTTGGATGAACCATTGGGGAGAGCGGCGAGCGTGTGCGACCGAGGGGGCAGCCTGGGAAGCCGCCTCCGCCTCCTCTTCCTCCTCTTCCTCCGCCTCCTCCTCCTCTTGGTCCTCCGCCTCCTCCTCCGGCTCCCCGTTGTTGTCTCCTCCTCCGCCGCCCATGGCTAGGCACCGCCGCCGCCGCCGCTGCTGCAGCTGCTGACCGGGGCAGCTGGGCTGCGCCTTGCATCCCCCGCGGCGGGGAGCGAGAGCCCCACGCCCCCTCCTTCCTCCCCTACCCTTTCCCTATCCCCATCCCCACCCCCTTTGCCCCCCGCATCCCTTCCCTCCTCTGCCCCCGCCCCTTTACCCTGCACCCCTATCCCCGGAGGGGGGGGTTGGGGAAGTGGTAGAAGGAGAAAGCAACGGGAGGAGGAATTGGGGAGGCCAGTGAAGATGGGGAACACTACGTCTTGCTGTGTGTCGTCCAGCCCAAAGCTCAGGAGAAATGCCCACTCCCGGCTGGAGTCCTATCGGCCAGATACTGAGCTGAGCCGGGAGGACACAGGCTGCAACCTGCAACACATCAGCGACCGAGAGAACATTGATGGTGAGTACTAGATGGGGAAAGAGAAGAATTTTGTGTGTGTGTGTGTGTGTGTGTGTGTGTATTTTGTGTGTGTGTGTGTGTGTGTGTGTTGTGTGCGCGCGCGCTCCAGCCTCTATGTCCTGGAAAGGGGGTCAAGAACTCGGAGTGGGCAGTTGGGGAGAGTGGTTTTAAGAAGGAGGGGGCTCCCCCCCCCTTTTGGCCTTTCTCCCTTCCCCTTCCATCTCCTCCTATGCCTCTAGAGATGAACCGAAAATCTAAGGATGAAGCTAAGGATGGATACTGCTCCCAACGTCCCTTTCTCTCTGGTTTTTGGTCCCTGGTCCCGTTGGGCACCTCCGCATCGTTTCCTTCATCCCTTTATGATTTTTCTGCCCTTTCATATTAATTCTTTGCTTCAGCGCTCCTCCCCTCAGCTAAAATACTAGTATTTGTTAACTATGTTTCTAATGGGAAGAGTTGTGTTTATAAATTGGAAACTGGTGTTCTGGGTCTCTGGGGGAGCTCCCTGATGGGTGCTGCTGGTTTGTTCTGAAGTTTGTACCAGTGAGTGGCAGAAAAAACTTTACTGACCTGGTACCTCACTGAACTGTCCTGTTTAGACAGTCTTGGTGCTGCTGCCTTGGGGCTGGTCAGAATAGACAAACCGTGGGCATTGGTGACAGCCACCCCGCCTTCTTTTTCAGAGATGATGGAACAAGTGAGAGCTGTCAAACCTTAGAGGTGTCAGTTTTTGCCTTTTATATCCTGGGTAACCATATTATATGGATTGAGGGTAGTGGAAAAATGAGTATGTACTGGGTGAAATATATTTCCATTACTCCAAAGTAATGTATTAATGTTGGGTTAGCTGAAGGTAGCTAACTCCCATTTTGGAGTTGTAGTTACTGAAAAGTGCTTTGCAGTTAGAGTATAGTTGGACTCCTGGTGTGTTGTATTCTTCAAACTAATCAGACCCTGAAAATGGACTGCCAGCTTTCCTGACCCTGGTTTCATGTTAGTTGCTGGGTTCCCAACTGCCCCCTACCCATGTGGTAAATGCTTTTTTAAAAATGCAGCAAAACCTTTCTCATACCAGAACTACAAATTATATACCTTTCTTTGGAGCTTTTTCAGGAATATTAAGAGATTAGGAGAAAGATTTGGATTATATCAGATAATGACTTTACTCAAAATAATATCATAAAAAGGGCTTATGTATTGAGTTATATTATCTTTCTATGGAATTGTGGCTGTAGTCCGGCACAGGGCTTTGGTTTGCAGTAGAGAAACTGGGGGAAATAATGCCCTGATTGTTGCCCCCTCTTAATGATTAACCATTGGCTTTATTCTTTGTATTATTGCTAGCCCAGACTCTTAGCAGAGAACATTCAGTAAGAAGTTAGTTTACACTTTTGGTTCAGGAATGCTTTAAGTAAAAATTTTAGGTATTTTTAGTCTTTCAGAAAACTTACAACCAGAAATTTCTTGATTCTTTGGTTTTGCCAAGAATCTTCTGTTTCATTGGCCCTGTTAACTGTTCTATACAAGTTCCTTGTGTTTGCATGAATGAAAGTACTGATGAGGCAAAAGTGTATACTTTCTCTGTTGTAATAATCCAATTCCTGTCTGTTTGAGAATGGAGCATTGACTCAAGTGTTAGACAGTGGAAAACCCAATGTAAGTGGCACAAAAGGAATTATTATTTTCCCATCATGTCGTAAAACTGACATAATCTAATTCTCAGAAGTGGTAACTTTCTTCAATTCTGTAAAATATGCCTCGACTTTAAGATTTCAGTCTTGCCCTCCCTTGATTGTATGTGGGTACAGAGGTTAAAACACACACACACACACACACACACACACACACACACGTGTGTTTCCAACTTTATGAGATTGTTGTGGAAGGCCATTATTCAATCCCTTAGAGTTGACCTATATAGTTCCATGTTTGGAAACAATTCTTCTCATGGGATTCATGTGAATTTACATTTTGTGGAGGTTTTTAATCTTAAATGATAGATTTGTCTAAACAAATCCACAGTACAGTTTGATTTCTTAGAAGCTGGTTGTATAGAGATGGCTATAATAAGAAAACACAAAAAAAGTAATTGTAACCAGCTCTTTGGTGCAACAGCTTGGAAGGATTTTGTGGGAACAATAGAACAGTATCATATGTTTTTTCTTTTGCGAGAGTTGAGGTTTCAGTTGTTAAGTATCCTAGAGAGGGGTGAGGTGGGGAGGGGGAAGAATATTTGGAAGTCTCTGGATTTTGTTTTTAAGAGCTTGGGATCATTTGAGTGATGGCAGGGTAGATTATAGAAAGTTTTATTGTTTCAAGAGGAAAGGCTGACCGGGGTGGGAACAGTTATTTGGCAGTAGGCTTCTCCTTAATGATAGCATCACTGCAGTACTGTATAATTCCTGGCTGAGACTCTTCAGATGATGCCATTCTAATCCCAGAAATGCTAATTCACTACTTAAACAATGTTCTATCATTCTCCCAAAATCTGATTCAGTAAGTAATACTTCCAGGATTTACTCACTGCATTGAGCTCTTTGCAAGCTTTCAGGGCTGCCCCTTCTTCAGAGCTGGAGGTTAGGCATAAGACTGCTGGTTTGTTTAGACTGGGTTAGAGTTTGCCCTAACTCCAGAATTGAGCTTGGATGATTGCTTTTCAAAGTCAGAAACTGATGAGTTGACATTTTGGAATTCCACCAGCAGTCAAAAGAAGTAGCCAGGCCATTCCATTTTTCTTGTAGCAGTAGCAAAAACTGCTTTCTTAAAGCAAATACTGCTATTCAAAGTATATGAGTTCTGAGGGGGTAGCAGCATGGCTGGAAATGAGAAGTTCAGAAAAGTTTAGGAAATAAATGCGTAATGAATACTCTAGGTCAGTTCTCTGTGGCATACAGCAAACACATACCCATGTATCATTTTTAGTTTATTGTATAGAACTCTGCAGCCAGCAGAAACCTTGTCTGCTTTATTAAATGTGCTTCATGTGATGGCTCCAACAGTGTTTCTTGCTTTTTCCTATTTAATATATACTAATAATATTCATGATGATTCTCATAGGACAGCTGCTTATATTGAAGTTAAAAAAATTCCCACCACATACTGCTGGTGTGCTTGAATTTTTCATAATTTTTCCTTTGGAGATAAGGGTCCCTTCCTGGTTATTATAATAATGACAACATCTTGCATTCATGTAGTGCTTTTTTCCTTATAATTGTCTTCACATTTTAAAATCTTGTTTTATGTTTGAACTTGCCTTCTGAGACAGGGCAAGTATTTTTGTCCTTATTTTGCAGATCAAATACAAAGAAAGCTATGAATGACTCTTAACAGGATTTTTAAAGCTAGAAGGGATCTTCAAGGTCATCTAGTTCACCTTGTTTATTTTACAGATTTGGAAACTGAGACTTGGAATGGAGGTGAATCTATTTGAAGTCATACAGCTATTTAATATCCAGGCCAAAACTAGGAATGGGCTATCTTAACTCCTGATTAAATGCTCTTTCTACCATATCCCCAGGGTGATGCAGCTAGTTAGTGGGAGATGAGGTATTAAAACTTAGCTCTCTTGGCTTCCTGCCTCCTGCTCTTTAGACCATGTAGTCATGCTGGAAGTATGTCTTGGCTTGCAGTTCAGCATTATCTTTTTGACTGAATATTTGCAAGGCAGTGTGGCTGTTGAATAGAGGACTGGCCAGGGAGTCAGGAAAAGCTAGGTTCAAGTTCTGTCTTGGATATACACTAGTTATGTGATCAAAGGCACGTCACTTAGCCCCTCAGAAGCCCAGGCAACTCTCTAAGGCTATAAATGGCAGATCAGTTGCCCATCTTCATTAGCAGAGGTTGGAGAAGAAAGGTCCTGTGTGAGGAAGAGCAAGTAGGTCTGTTTGACTAGAATTTCCATACTGATGAAATAATAGGTACACATATATACATACATATATGTATATAGATATACACATACATATATGTATATAGA